CAATCTAATCTCAATTCCTTCATGGAGGTGTCTCTAGTCAATGCATACATATTGCATATATATATATATCGAATCCTTGTAGTCTTCTCTTAGTTGCTTGCTCTGTTCTGTTGTGGTGAAAGACCAAACAGAAACGTAGTACACAGTTTGAAATTTGCAACAAAACCTTATTCTGCAATACATATGTTTAAAAAGAGGTAATCTGATTTCTTCATTCGTTTTATCTATGGACTACGGCAACAAAGAGAAGACTGAAGTAAAGACCAAAAATAAGTAAAGTTTCCAGATCAGACAGAGATCTTATCTTGTTGCGGCTTGGTCTCTTCTTCCTCAGAGATATCTTCCTCATTACTGCCTTTGTATCTATACCATTTAGCCATCCACAAGAAGTAACCCATGTTAACGACCATGATTCCTGTGAGCATGAAATAGAAGTAATCCAATTTCCCTTTGTTCAGATCCTCAGCTAACCAATTCCCGGAAGGCGAATGTTCAGTTGTTCGATGAATAATCGAGATCAAGAAGCTAGCGAGGTAGCTCGAAACCCCTGCACCGACATAGAAGATAGAACCTGCAAAGCTCCTCATGTTTTCAGGAAACTGCTTGTAGTAGAACTCCATTTGTCCAATGGCTGCAAAAGCTTCTGCTATGCCTGCAAGCGTGAGCTGCGGAATCAGCCATAGCGCTGACATTGAGGAGATTTCTCCTGTTCGAGGCGCTATCCCGAGTGTCGGTTTTGTCAGCGCAAAGGTTCTTCTCCGCTCCTCTATAAACCCCGAAACCAGTAAACTCAATATCGCAAAGGCAATCCCTGCTCCGATTCTTTGTAAGAGTGTTATACCGGTTTCTAGACCTGTCAATCTTCTGAGTGACGGGACAAGGACACGGTCGTAGATTACAATGAAAATCGTCATACCACTCATCAAGAACACTACATAGGTGGCAGCGGGAATCTTGAAGCTACCAGAACCCAATCGCCGATCGCTTTGAAGTGCTTGGAAGACCGGATAAGTCATTTGCATAGTTATGGAAAGGTAGTAGATCGCAGCAGCAAACCAGATTGGAATCACTCTTACAATGCATTTCACTTCTTCCACTTGCTGCATTGTACAGAGTTTCCATGGATCAGAAGCTGTTCCATCGGATTTCAACTTGTCCTCGGGGGTCATAATCGCTGCTTTGTCAAGAAATCTGGCAACATAACAAGCATGACAAATTTCAGCAAAACAAAAGCCCCAAATAAGAAGCAAGGGAACAAAATAATAAATCGAACTCTTGATTTACCTGAACTGGCCAGTGTGTTTTAGAGTAGAATTTACATAGTTACGCGGAATGTTGTTGTGAAGCTCGAGCGAAGGCTGCTTAACCGGCTTCAGTCCTCGCTTCTTGATCGCAGCTGCTATAACATGAGCAATACCAGCCAATGGACTACCCGAGGCTTTCACTTTTACGTACAATTTATCGCCAGCGAAGAAAATCACACACGCCAAGAACATTAGACTCACCGGGATACTCAAACCGATTGTCCAACTCACATTTGACTGGATATACACAACTAGAGTGAGCGAGACGATCTGCGCGAACGTGAAAGTGAAGAAATACCAGTTGAAGAAACTGTTGATTCCTTTCTTTCCGGACTCGGATTTCGGGTTAAACTGATCAGCCCCAAACGCTAAATTACACGGTCTGATTCCTCCGGCGCCTACCACGAGAAATGCTAAACCCATCAGCAGAAACAGAATCTGTCCCACACTCGGCCCTTGGCACGAGCTCTTCGTTCCGCAAGCAATTGGGTGCAATGCCGGGACTGCAGCTGTCAATAGTATCACAAGCGATCCCTACAAAGATGTAAAAGGTTCAGAAACAAAGACTAAATCGAAACCAAGCTTTATTCTACTGATCAAAGATTATTATTAGTACCAGAAAACAAGCGACGACAGCAACAGAGAGAGTCTTGTAGCGACCAAAGTAAGTGTCGCAGAGAAAAGCAGCAACGAAAGTCCCGAAATTGATAGTGCCACTAAAGGCATTGATGATTGTTGCAMCTGTGTAGCTCTTAAGGTTGAATACTGAAGTCAAGTACACAAGAAGGTTCGATAATGTCCCAATGATCCCAATCTTCTCAAATGTCTCATTACCTGTCAAGATAAAACAGAATTTTTTTTAAACATAATTGATTAAAGCTTAACCAAAATGAGTGGTTTCTCGTAAAGTTTCAAACTTTCTGCATTTAATTTACAGAGCTTTCAATATTCTAACTTTTGTAACTCCCAGAAACTAACTTTGTCTTTAAATGTACATAAGTCTAAAATCTTATCCACTTCGTTCAGAAACTTAATTGCTTGATTTCAACCAAACTCTCTTTTCCCCGGGAAATTAAAACATTTTTTAAAATTTTCATTTGCGTAGATAGATCTGGTGGATTATCTAGAGAAGATAATAGATCTGGGTTTCAACCAAAACAAGAACTCCAATTTCGAGATTTTTTACACAGTCAAGTCAAACAGAAAAAATAAATACTAACACATACTAGTAGTATGCGAAATGCAACGAAAACTATGACATCACGGACAAAATG